TCACCTCGATTCTTTTCTTTTTCAGCTATACTCTCGTAGATTTGCTGCACTTGGGATCACTATCCTTTTGTTGCATGACCCAAATTCTGCCAAGCTTTACTTTAGCTTTAGGACAGACGGCCTCACATTTGATTCTAGAAGAGAGTCCTGTGGTTGCAAAACAAACCCAATTCATTATCCCACCACTACCGTGCTTAAGAGTTAGTATGAGGTGTTCGTGCTGATATGTTGTGCATTATGGCCAAAACATTGTGACATACAAAAATTACTTTTTCACATGACTGTACACGCTCTTCTTTTTATTCTAATTATATTTAGCAACTGTTTTAGCATTTGATCTTAGCCCAGTGAATTGCTGACATGTAACCAAGATACACTCTCTTGAGATAAAGGGAACCGAAGTCACAAGTAAGCCACAAAAAGACAAGCGGCTTTCTAAATGATACCAGCGAGACAGACATATTTTTTTTACCCTTCAGTTTCTCACCAAACATGAAGGAGTTTCCATCTGATTTTGCTCTACACCACCATAATCTAAGAAAGAGAGAAAAGGCTGAATTTCTCTGCAGTATCCATGGTTGTCTTGACAACTCAAGCCACTCACTGCCTAGAGCAGAAATCTACTGTATTCAGAAACACAAACCCAGAAACCCGCTGTTATGTCACAGAAAATGGTATGAATGCTGTACTGCTTCATTTCAATGCACACACTCACAGTCTCTCTGTATGCTTTTATATCACTCATCTTGAGTTTGTACGCGCCTCATATTCACATCTATTTTTATAACAGGAAAATGAGCTCCTGCACAGGCAATGTACTATTCTGGAAAATGAGTTCACATCATACGCATTCTTATTCTTCAACTATCCTAGAAAGCCCTTTAATTGTTCATTTATTGGAACTGTAAAAGGAAATAACCTCAAATAGTAAACTGCTGATCAGACTAATCGACTGTATGTAAGCTATTGAGCCAATGCCATTAAAATTCCAATACAAACAAAAAAAATAAAAATAAAAATATTCAAACCACTCTTCTTTTGAGCAAAGGGCCACTGAGTGCAGCGTCACTGTTATTACAGTTGTCTAAATAACTACAAGAACTGGGTAGAGGTGGCAACTACATGTACTTCAAGGTAAGACATATAATAAAAATAACAGCCTGCTTTGAAAAAGCTTAAAAATTCAATTGTTCAGTCCCCAAACCGCTCTGTAAAAACAGCCCAGGGCAACGACTCGACCGCTAAATTAAATTATCCCAGTCCAATCACAGGTGCCACAAAAAGTGACCTACAGATTGTTTGATGGTTTTAATGTGATTAGGTACGCGTGAAGAAGATTCAGTTCAGTTCAATTCCATTTTATTTATATAGTGCCAAATCACAACAATAGTTGCCTCAAAGCGCTCTAAGGTAAGGTAAAGACCCTACAATGATCTTTACAAAGATGGGCAGACTGTGGTCGTAAAGGGATGGAGATGGTCAGCAACAACACTCAGGTAGGTTGTGGTGTTTAAATAATACTCAGTTGGTACTAAGGGGCCTAAAGTGTGCCAAGAAAACATCCTAATACCACCACCATCAGCCTGACCTGCACACACAAGGCAGGTCATGCTTTCATGATGTTTATGCCAAATTCTGAAACCACCATTCAAATGTCGCAGCAGAATTCTAGTCACATCAGACCAGGCAACACTTCTATTGTCCAATTTTGGTGAGCCTGTATAAAATGTAGCCTCATTATTCCAGTGCTGTTCTTCCGCATACCTTTGTTGTAATGAGTAGTTATTTGAGTTACTATTTTTACCCACTTGCTGTATATTTTCCTCTTTTTCAGTCCACTATCAGTAAACCCTAGAGATGGTTGCGTGGGAAAATCCCAGTAGATCAGCAGTTTCGTAACACCCAGATATAAATGCCTAAATACACTGAGATGCTGCCATGTGATTGGCTAATTAGATATTTGCATTAACGAGCAGTTGAACAAAATAGCCAGTGTGTGCATTTGATTTAACGTTAATTAGCCAAGTAAATCCCACAGAGGTTAGAAAGCTCTTTTTCCAATAACTAATAACTATTTTCCATTATAGCCCATTAAAAACGGACATTTTATATGAAACAACCCTTATTTGTTTCCCCAGAAATCTCTTTTCTTTTTGCCAAAACATAGGGTTAAACATTAAGGTTAGTTCTCTCATTTTTTTCTCCAGTAGTAACATGTAAAGTTTTTAAAAAAGCAATAAACTAAATGAGAAACCATTAGATAAGTGCTGATCTGCGCAGCTGAATAAATTCTGTGCATGTAGGTAGCGACATTAGGAGCCAGCAAAAGTTTTTATGTGTGTGAATGTGCCCATGAAATATGTGTTGCCTTATGACATCCCTAGCGTTAGAGCAGTCACTTATCTCCCTCCCCAGTCAACAGGTCTCCTCTTCATCAACAGCCCTTTCCACTCAGGCAGAACCCAGCCAGCCTGTAATTACTGATGCCACTTGAGAGGAATACCAACAGGCACAGACACACCAGAGAGGAAAAGCATCAGCAGCGAGCACTATTTCAGCCCACAGCACCTTTCCGCGACTTCAAAACACCTGGAGCCTGCTGCTGTTGTCTGTGTGTGAAGAGCAGCAGCACCACCTGCCACTGCGGAGGATCTAATGACCAAATAATGAGTGTAAGGACACAAACTTAGGGAATATTTTAGTCTAGTTGAGCCCAGACTGTTTACTTCATTCCTTCTGGCTTGTACATGGCTTTGTTCAGACACAGACACATGGCTGTCTGAGAAATCCGTGAGCCTGTACATGACTTCCTTGTTAAAAGAGCCAGACAGAGTGGCAGTAACTCAGGCTGGACACATCAGGTTGATAACGAATGGCATGTGACAGGTAGGAAGTAGATTTCTGAAGCAGGGCATGACAACATAAATATACTATGAGCGATTCATTTTTGCACCCAGCTCACCTCCTCTAACCTCCATTATTTCCTTTCATGTTTTAAAAATTGATATTTTAATTTATTTTTACAAGGCTACATGAGGAATCTCTTCCAGCACTTCCATGCTTAGTGGCACATTTCCATTTATGGAAATGTAGGCGATCATCAGTGGGATTTACATACTAATGCCAGGAGTATTTCTAACTACAAGCGATTGCAAGGTCTTCATTTACTTCGGCAGCTGAGAGGTTTTGTAAAATATTAAGAAGTTAAACACAAAAATTTGCCATTAACTACGGGGATAAATGTCCCCTTGAGCTTTCCTAAAATCTGTCTCTTGCACTCTTTTTTTGGATGCGAGCCAGAAGATGTCAATAATAAAATCAATTACAAAAAACGCTTCAACTCCAAACTGAGCTACACTCACTCATCAGAATATAGCACAGTGATACTCGTGGGCAGTGTCTGCCCACACTTTCTTCACAACAATAAGCTACATTTTTCTATTCCCTATGGCATGATGCATGGCAGCCGCATGTGAGGGGGGGCGGGGAGTCGCTCTGTAATCTGGGAGTACCATCTGTGGCTGTCAGCTGAAACTGCCACTTAGTGGGCCTAACACAATCACCATGTCAACAGTTGCCAACACTTGGCGCTTCCACAGTCCCCTCGGAGCACATGTGACATGCCAGAAAAGTCTAAGCATGGGAGAAACGTCTCAAAAACAAGCTGAGTCAAGCTGCTGTTAGAGTCGGATTGATTCATGTCACGGGCACACAGCGATTGGTTCTCGGCGAGGATGAATGAAAATCACAAAGAGACAAATGTAGGCATGTTACCATGTAGTGATCTCTGTGATTCATCACAAGAGGCAGAAGCCTGAGGTCTGCAAGACCAACAGATGTACAACAGGTGGAGCCAAAGTCTTATTAATAAGAAAAATAGGATCAGTAAGCTGCCATTTTTACACAATGTAATCCTCTCACGACTGAAGTCGGCCCATTTACAGATTGTCATCAAGTTACACAGTAGATTTCATCACAGCACATCTAGCAGGCATTTTTGGTACTTTAGCACACAGAAGAAAATGCTTAACAGTGTCTTTGATCAAGGAAACTGGAGTAGAAAATGTCCATTAATGCATTTTTTATAGCAGAAATTGTCACAGTACATTTCCTCTATAAGCTCTCATAATTAAATGTGTAAACACTTGATAATGCCATCTGTTATTAAATTAGGCCAATTAGTAGGGATTATCATAAGATCTTAAGTGGTTTTGATTCCACGGCAGCTTCAATCACCTTTGCACAGATCATAGGGCATTTTGCATATTGTGGTATCATCCATCCATCCAGCCATGTGGTGTTTTTCCATTTGTTACTCCTCTGCTTCAATTTCTCCCAAATGTTAGTGCTAATGATAAGACTACAATCAGCTATTACAAAGCAGCAATAATCACACGTTATCATTAATGCATGATTCCCACTGTGAGCAATGATCAAAAATTTTAAGTCTGAGCATACAAGTCTGAGGGTACGTATTTAATACAAAGACATACTTGATGGCGTAATCTCATTAATGCAGGATTAGCAACTTAAACTTGTTGCAGGCAAAATGTTTTTAGAAAAAAAACACTGCATAATAACTCAAGCAGATGGAAAGGAAACTAGAGTCTTGCACCTTCTCCCAGCTCTGTCTTCAAGTTTTTAAAAAATAAAGTAAAATAAAAAATTTGCCCCAGTAGACCTTGGCCAATCACAACGCACATCCCCCAGGAAATGACTAGAAAATAAACGCTTGGAAAAATGACATGAGCACTTGTTAATGCCTGGTTAAGCTGCTGCTGAGACACTGTCAGCACCTTTAGATGGGACAGAAACTTACATATCTACCTCCTAGACTCTGCACCTCCTTAAAAGGGGAAATGTTCGTGCATTAGAGATTTGTTGCCTCTAATCTTGTTGCCTTTCATACCAGATCATGTGAGCAGTGCAAAATGTTATTATATATTATTATTAATATTATTTTAATTTTCTTTTTTTTTTTTAAAGTGTGGGGGGGGGGGGGGGGGGGTTAAACAGAACAAAAAAAGATGCAAGAAAAGGGCTCTTTAATCTTCATATTCTGGCTGTTCTTTTAAATAAAATCCTGTCTTCTCTGGTTTCCTTGCCTACTGAAGCTTTAAATACTGAGTTAGCCAAGTTAGACAGTCACCCTTAATCTTGAAAGACAATTTTAAAAAGGAAGCGAATCTTCTGTCAATAAAAACTTAGCAGATACCATCATTTTTTCCTTGCACAGGACCTGATTCTGAAAGCAGCATGTAGACATACATGCAGAAATACAGTGTGTGTGTCAGAAACACAACAAATCCAAATTGAAACAGTTCATATTGGTGTGTCTCAAACTCAATGCAACCATCCCGATTCTCTTGTGCTCTGACAATACCTTGAAAGGGAGGTGTCTGAGTTCAGTCGACGTTATATTTTTAAAAAGAAAACAAATTGTCACTCAGTGCCTGTTCAGAGTTATTGTGGGGCCATTCTTCTGTGCAGCATCATCTGACCCTGGATCGCTTGACAACAATTGTACCAGCAACCATATCATACACAGTCCTGTTGTGCTGGAAGAACAGAAGAGTGATGAAGGCTGGGAAGAAGAAGGCAATGGAAAAGTTCTTATTCAAGGCTCGAACAGTCGATCTGAAGAGGGAGACAGAAACAGTACCGTTATGTGATGTGAGGCTGTTTGCATGCACGCTGTGACTTCTGATGGATAATCTTTAAAAAAATAATTAAATAAATACTCACGCAGAAAGAGAGACATTAGTTGCTGGCACGACAAGAACCCTGTTAGGCTGAACCAGAACTGATGAGTCACATGTCACGACTCTGAGTCCAATGAGAAACTTTCCGGGAGTGGCTCCTCCTGCTCCCCAAATGCATATGATCTAAAAAGAGAAACGTGTATCAGCTACCAAACATAAAATACATTTTCCACAAACAATTTAACAAGTTACGGTTGGTAAAATATCACTGCTAGATGTCAGCAAATTGCAGTCGACTGAGTTCAGTCTTCTTCCTTAAGTGCTTAACTCTAAGTACGGTGGCCACGGTAGAACAAACAACTCTGGCTGCTGTTCATCTGTAGTGAGTGGAAGCTTTCAGTCTGCTACCTAAGCTGTTGATATGCTGGTGTTGTAGTCCATTTATGTTGGAGGAGGCTGTAAAACTTTGTGAAAGGACTCCGATAAGAGTCAATGATTCAGCGAAGCTCACTTTTGACTGACGACAGCGACACTGAGGCGAGTTGATATCTCAGACTTTTTCTTGCTGGTTTTGCCAGTGCTAGCTGCTGTTAGCCTCCATTAGCTGCTGTTAGTCAGAGTTAGTGAAACTTTCTTTGAAGTAAATGTAACACTGTTGGACTCGGACACTTACCAACCAGACCCTCATATGACGTGAGATGTGTAATCAAACTGTTTATCAGAGCGAAAGTGTGACTTTTAGGAAAATTGAGCCTAACATTAGCTGGCATAATGTTAGCTTATAACCCGCTGTTGCTGTTGTGTAGCCGGCTTAGTGGCAGCTGTCCAAAGACAAGAGGGTCGCATGTCAAATCAGCTGACAGTAAGGGACTGTGACAAAATCAGGAATGAATAAACAAGTTTATGTAGGTTTTTGTATGTTATTGCACTGACAAACTGGCACCTGCCCATTTTAATGGAGACGCTCTAAGGTTATGAGAAGACAGTTTGTTGGAAGACGTAATTACACACAGAGCAAAATACTTAGGAGTACGACAGCCCCTGGTTCCCCTAGCAGCTGTACCCTTAAGACCAACATCCTAGTCAAGACTCCAGATAACAGCATAAAACTTCTCCGTGTCCACTCACCTCATAAAAACAAACTAATATCCGATACACAAGAGCAACAAGCATCATTTTCTGCAGCTCCTCCATCGATGTGTCTTCATCGATTTCCTCCACTATAAAATGCATGGCGAACTTGGAAACATCTCTGAAAAGTGAATGAAACGATACAGGTTTAAAGAATGTCTTAGTCTGATTACGAGTCTCCTTCTTGAAGGGATAAAAATAAAAAAAATTTAGAAAAACATAAATACACAAGGGGCGATCGTGGCTCAAGAGTTGGGCGTTCGCCTTGTAATCGGAAGGTTGCTGGTTCGAGCCCCGGCTTGGATAGTCTCGGTCGTTGTGTCCTTGGGCAAGACACTTCACCCGTTGCCTACTGGTGGTGGTCAGAGGGCCCGGTGGCGCCAGTGTCCGGCAGCCTAGCCTCTGTCAGTGCGCCCCAGGGTGGCTGTGGCTACAATGTAGCTTGCCATCACCAGTGTGTGAATGTGTGTGTGAATGGGTGGATGACTGGATATGTAAAGCGCTTTGGGGTCCTTAGGGACTAGTAAAGCGCTATATAAATACAGGCCATTTACCATTAAAGTCCAAAGACATGCAGCTTGTGGGGATAGGTTAATTGGATAATCGAATTGCCACTAGGTGTGAATGTGCAAGTGAGTGTGAATGGTTGTCTGTCCCCATGTGTTAGCCCTGCGACAGACTGGCGACCTGTCCAGGGTGTACCCCGCCTTTCACCCTATGACAGCTGGGATAGGCTCCAGCGCCCCCCGCGACCCTGAAAAGGATAAGCGGAAGCGAGTGGATGGATGGATGGATGGATGGCATAAATACACAAACTCACTTGATTCCACTAAGGTGCATAATACTGATGATTATAGTTGCTTTGATGAAAAACAATATGAAGAAATCCACCATCTCAGCCATTAGTCTTTGGAGAGGAGAAGGAATACTGTACTCTCGGCCTGGAGAAAAGAAGCAAAGAAGTTTGTTTTATTAAGGGATGCCGGACTGCCTTTCAATTGTTTTTAAAGGCGCTCAGTCCCAGAGGGTCATCATAACCCTCAAATGTAGTGACCCTTGGAGTTAGGAAAAATCGGATATGGTTATACTGTCTGTAGCAGCTTTTACCTGGTCTCGGTGCATTTCCATTCTCCCTCGCCTGCTGCTGCTGCTGCGGCTGAGCAGGCACTGCTGCCCCGACGATGGTTTCACCTGCACGGCCGCTCGAGGAGCCGGCCGCGGGTGGGAAAGGAGGCAACGGAAGACCAAACGGATTATTATGCCAGTGCTGGGAGTTGATATCAAGAACGGTCGAAGTCCCGTTAGGTGGCTGTAAACAGTAAGGGTAGGACATGGCTGACGCTGCTAGCCAGCTTTGCCAGTTCACATATCCACTGTAGTACTGCCACATCCATGCCTGTAGTTTCTCGCAGTATCGTGTCGTGGCACGGCTTTCTTCGGCGTCCTTCTTGCCGTCAGTGCTGCCCCGGTTGTCTTTTCTTTGGGTAACTTCGTCAGATAATGGCTTAACTTGACTACCACAAGGTTTATTCTTTCTCTTATCGACATCCATACTTCTGTTTTCTTTGTCGGCCATGTTTGATCGCGTTGCGTCACGTAACGTCATCTGGACGAAGAAAATAAATACGTGTCAAGATAGAGATATTGTAAAGATATGCGATGTTATGGATTCAAATAAATTGAATAATATTTTTCAATTTAAAAAAAAAATCTCTATTTATAATTCACGTTAAACTGTTACCCCTCCTCCCCTCTCCACCTAGCAGGATGTAGTGGTGCCGCCCGATAGTTGCCTGCTATTACGGGAATCAACCACAAGGGTGCAGCATATCTGCGAGGTAGAAGTTGCAGTGATAGTGAGACATTTGGGGTCTTCGAGTTCACACAATTTAATATTCAAATGAGAAAGTACGGCAGCAAAAGATTTTCAGGACTTACTTCTGGATTTTCTCGGATAACTGCATCTGTAATTATCACATTGTTATAGAACTTATGAGATTAACTACATGAATACATGAGACTACATAAGATGACTGCAAATACAAGCCTAGTTCCAAAAAAGTTGTGTGTGTAAAATAAAAGCAGAATGCATTGATTTGCAAAATCATAAACATATATTTTATTCAAAATGAAAGTGTGGACAAAGTTCACCCTGCCATCCACAAATGGTGGTTACAAATGTATGATGCAATAAAGAAGCCATCTAGAAATCTGGATCTTCTCTAGAAAGAGCTAATTTAAAATGAACTGAGGGCAGGTAGAAAACGTGTCTGTGGTCAGACCCATCAAAATTTAAAACTTTTTTGGAAAGCATGCACACCATGTCCTCTGGACTAAAGAGGAGAGAGTGCTTGTCATCAAGACTGATTTTAAAACCCTGCTGTGCAGGAATTGGGTGCATCAATGCCTATGGAAAGGCACTTGCAGGTTTTAGATCAACATATGCTCCCATCAAGGTGACATGTTTTCCAGCAAGACAATGCCAAACCACATACTGCATCTATCACAACAGCATGGCTTCACAGTAAAAGAGTCCCACTGATGAACTGATTCAGATGTTATTTTAATTGAAAACATTTTGCAGCCTCATCATCATGAAACAAATAGTAAAATGAGTCAGCTGATACATACGATGTGTTCTGTGTGCAAGATTTGCAAATCATTGCATTCTGTTTTTATTCACATTTTACAGAATGTCCCAAATTTTGGAATCACGATTTATTGTGTAACAGTAAATAATGTCATTTCTTACAGCTTCATGCTGATGAATGAGATCCTTGTAGGACCTGAAACCACCTGTCGTTATTGAGATTATTCCATCACAATCAACAGGCTGCTTTTCTTAAATAAAACAGAAATGGAATAATTGTTACAGTATTGGTGTGCACACAGCTACCACATCCTTTCATAATGAACAAAAGAACAAAAGAATTTAGCAGCTGATCATGTCATTGTGTTTAAGGGAGCTAAGCAATTTCAAAGGAAGTGTGCTTCTTAAAGCTGGCACCCACACAACACCATAAGCATGCTTAATCTGTAGGGTTTTGTTTTGTTTTTTTGAGCTGGTAGGACCTCAGGTTTCACCGCATACCTTATATTTATATCTGAGCATGCATTTTAAAAATATAAGTAAATGCTCCTCAACACATTCTTTGTGCAGGCAAAGCACCAAAAACATTTGTGTGCATATGGCACCATCTTACATAACATGGCACTTTACAAAACAAAGCAGCTTGTCATTAGTCAATACTCATTGTTGCTTGACCACCACCTGGGGCCACAACCATTCACTACAGCCTGGAAATCTTTGAGGATTTATACCTCAGTGTAGTGCTCTAAAGGACCCTAATTAAAACTAATTATGTGCACTCACTTGAATTTTGCATCCATGCAACCAAGACTAGGTCACTGCTCCAACTGCAAGCAGGGATTTGGCCTTCTCACCTCCTTGTCATATGAGGGCTACTCTGATTTTAGGAGCTTTCCTTCCCTTTGTTTAAACAAAAGGCCTTTGTAACCCCCTTCCCCTCTAGCTTTAAGATCAGATGTGTGTTTAAGCCAATCAGGTTTCTTGCTTTAAAAAGTTTCACATCTAAACAGTTTGCTACAGTTTAGAAGGTAACTGCAGGTTATGCCAGCTACGAACATTAAACTAGTGCAGCTATACAGGGAGGCATTTCCTTAATTTTGCACCCTTAACTTTGACCTGATGTGCAGCTGGCACAGCATTTTTAGTAAAGGATGCACGCTCGCATAGTGATAGGCATCTGGATGCAAGACATGCTGTATTGATACGGTCTATAATGTAATTCTTGGAATTGAACCAGCCATATTGAAAATGGCTTTTAAAGTGCAATCTGTTAAACTGAAGGGAATTAGTCTGGCTTTGAAAGTAGTGTTAGAAATGGAGACAAACTGGCTCCACTGTAAATTTTGAGTAAGACATGAGCTGCACACATTGTCAATCATTTAAACCCCAATAGGTCAAGGATGTTGAATTGCATGGGTGAGTAGCATGTGACATTTGAGTTTATGCACCTGATGCTTCACAAGTACAAGACTTTGTAGTAAGAGTCAGACAGAGTGAAGTGTCACAGTTTAAACTTTATTGGCATGTTTGGCAGTAGCGCACAGTCTTGAAGGAACAGGAACTCGTCACAAAGAGTGCATTAAGCTACTTTCTTATAGGTCCTCACTGCAACAACATCATCCATGTAACATTTCTGTTGAGACAGGGTTCAAAGGTCAGACATTCATTCACTTAAAGCTGTAGAGCAGCAACAGCGCCATGTTAGGCTGCATATAAAGAGCAAACAGCTTTAATGGCACAGATAAACCATCAGTTACTTACAGCTATTAGTTTTCCATCTTCAATTGCTCGCTCAATTCTTGTCGTCTTTCCATCCCAAGCCTGTTTCTGCACGAGTTTGCCATCCTCAATTGTCATGGTGGTCTGAAATTAGGAAAGTTTATAGAGAGGGCTTTAGTAAGACCTTAAAATGTGTGTAAAATAAAGTCTGGCTGGACCTGGGACGACCCACCTTGGTGGCTCTGCCGTCAGCAGTGTCCTCGTCGCATTCCTCATTCAGCTTGAACTTGAACTCCGTGGTCTTGAATGTAGTCACAGACTTTAGTGTGATAAACCCATCATCACCCATGCTGATCACCACGTTAGGCTTTGCAAGGATTCCCATTTGCCTAGTGGTGTAATTTACGCCTACAACACAGGAAGGATCCAATTGGTAAACTGTTCAAATACAACAGATAACAGCGTGCATCGTTTTAATCAAACAAACACACAAAATGAACAAGCTTACCGACTGCTTTCATGTAGTCATCAAACTTGTCGCTGTTAACAAGAGTCCAGTTTCCAACAAACTGCTCAACCATGATGGTGAAGCTGACGCTTGGGCTGCAGACAAAGAATACTTGAATCCTCTGCTGATGAAAGGCGAAGGGACCGAGAAGTTGTGAAAATTGCCTATTTGTAGCTTGATTGAGCACGCGTTTGATTCGGGCCCACCAATCAAGAGCAGGTGCCGTGGTTGCCTTGGAAATCAGCAGATTAGGGGCGTGGCTTTAAATCAGATTTCATCTGATTTTGATTAAGTGTTTGATAGAAGTGAAATGTGTAGCTTATCCTGGGTTTATTGACTTCAGCAATAAAACGGAAGTAAAAGGGGGTTAAAAAGCGTTAACTTAGACACCTAAATACTCCTGAATAAATACTAAAAAATAAATATCATTTAAATGTTTAAAAGTATTATTTATATGTAGAAAAGAAGATGTTTTGCTTTTTTTACATTAAACTTATCCTATTAAAGATTTATTGTGAAACTGCTAATATAACGTGTTATATTTCAGTGAATTTTCCCACAACTGCAACAGAATGTCAAATTGGAAAATAGATTCCGACACAATTCTTTACTTTGTAGTTGTATAGTTATGTTGACTTTAAGCAGTAGGTGGCGCCATGTGAACAGCAGTTAATACTTTAAAAGGGCTAATTCTGTGTTAGAGGTGCAGACAGAACAATTTGTGTGAAAGTGCATTATCAGGCAAATTTATAAGGTCGGGGGGGGGGGGGGGGGGGGGGGGGTCAACATTTATTTGCTCATATATCTTTTCGACATACAATAGTAGGCTACTTCATAATTTGCTTCCAAGGAGCCAGACCTATCATTTTTAAGTAGTCTTTCTAAAAAAAGAGCATAACATACAATCTTTACACCAGGAAGGTGTTTGGCAAAACTTGGTACATCCGGGTATGCTGTACGACAAGCAGACAGGCCTGAAATACTTTCTACAGCAGATGAACAGTGTCTGAAAGTCAGTAAGAAACAGGAAAAAATCCTGCAAAGACCTGACACGTGACCTGAGAGATGCATATGGTCCTTCAGCTGATCTGTCTGCTGTTCACTGAAGCCTCATCAGAAATGTTCTCAATGGATCTGATTGACTACAGCTTCATTTTTCAGTATGACAATGATCCCAAACACACTGCCAATGGAGTAAAAGCATACCCAACATTAGTGAGGCAGTGTGGGATCATAATTGCAGAACAGAACAAAAGGCAGCCAGCAGCCAAAGAGGATCTTTGAATGTCCTTCTAGAACTATTCCTGAAGACCATTTAAAGAAATGACTAAAATCGAATTAATAACTTCTATTTCCGTGTGTGTTTGTGCACGTTTTAGTGAATCCCTCCACCTAGTTCCCGAATTTCCAAAACTAAGGAGTGGCTCAAGACTTTTGGACATTATTGTAGACGATGGTGTATATTAGTTACAATGTATTGTGTTTACAGTGTGAACAAGAGATGGTACTGTAATTGACTACAGTAAGTTCTCATGTAAGTTCAGAGCCCCCTAGTGGTTTCAGCAACAGACTGAGCATTTGCTCAGATATAAAGTACGCTTTATATCTGAGCAAAGGCAACCCAAAATACCACACATGTCAAAGTGAAGTATGACAATGCAAAAGAGAGAAGCAAACTAATCCCAGTTCAACCAGTATAGTATAGTACAGGTTCTATGTTTCATTCTTAGTAGACAAGGATTTATTCACCCAGCATATGTATTTACTTATCTTTTTTTTAAAACCCCTCTGTGG